GGATCCTGCTTTATTTTTAGCTTTTCTAGAAGAACATAAATTTCCTGTGCAAGACACTACAGTTTCTTTATGATAAGAATCTTCTGAGACCAACATCTGCTGGATATTTCCTGAAGCTGCTCAACCCCTTGGCTTAATTTAAGCTTCAGGACAAATCTCCCACTCTAAATTCCCCTTTAGGCCCTAGGTCTGACAAGCCCTGGTTAGGTTTAAGCAACCCAGTTGGTATCACTCTGTTGCTAAGTTAACATGACAGTAGTCTTTTACAAGCCATACCAGTACTTCCCCATTCTTTACAGCTCCTGCGTGGAACCACTGTGGTACAGAAGCATTATCAGCATCAACTATATGACCTAACATGGGTTTTAGATTTTGTCTTTTATTTAATTGTTCTAGTTTTATGAAGGAAAAGCCTGAGAATTCCTATACCAACATACCACCCTGAACACATCTTTTGGAAGCTAGGCAGGTTTATAGGAGACCACTAAGAACACAAAGCATCTCAAGGCAGAGCTAAGTATGAATCCTCTCAGAAACCCTGAAAGACCACTGTTAGTGGCAGCAGATGATCTTGGCCAGATGGACTACTGGTTTGACTCAATATAAGTCAAACAGCTTCCTATGTTACTTATATCTTATTAACCTCCAAAGCTATTCCGAATGCAAGAGGTCACCTGGGGCATGACAGAGAATATAAGAGAGTACCTCTGAGCATGGGCAATGTACATTCAACCAGTTCCCAATTATCAGTGTTAGGGAACAGCGTTTCCAAAACCACATTGCAGACTTGAGGGGCTAAGCAGACGGGCGGAGTTGTGCCGCGGAGCCGAGGTATCCCCATACCTCGGCCCCGCGGCGCAGCTTCGCCGCCCCTGGAAGGAGTGCTAAAATAGTGCTCCTTCCACAAGTCGCCGAAGGTGCGCCGCAAAAGGCTGGCGGCACACCTTTGGCGACTCTTCCACCGCAGCATTTGCGAACGCTGCGGCGGGAAGTCATCGTCGGAGCGCTGGCCGTGTGGAGGGGCGGGCGCTCCGACAATGACTTCGGAAAAGGGTTGGGGTGCCGAGCGTGCGGCTGCCCCTCCCTTTCCGTGCCCCCAAGACGGCCCTTTTAGCCGTCTGCTTCCCCCCTTGAGTCTCAATTCTACCCACATTTCCCCACATCAATTCTTTTGTGCTTTTTAAAGAAATACTGGCACATGGATATATATTCTTTCATTACCTTATAGTCCTCCTGGGCTCTCATTATTTCCATAACTATCTTATTTTCCCGGTACTTAAGTTCTTTCAGTTTATCTTCATGATTCCGCCTTTTCTCATCAGCAGCAAGTTTTAAAAGAAGCATTTTGGACTTGAGATTTTCAGCTTTTGCAACATTCTCCTTTGCAATGTAAAACATAATGATGAAGTTTCAGTGCTTCAAAGGAAACATTACTAGAAGGCTTTTCAAGCAGTAAGCAATAAATGCCACATGTAGCTGCTACTATACTCCACAACACCCACTGCACTCACCTTCCATTTTTCGAGTTCTCTTTGTTTTTCAGTTTCATTTACAGCTAGACCCGAAGGCTCACGTTCTTCCAAAATCTACAAACAGAAGTTAAAAGGACGTCTTTCCTTCATGCACCATAACTCAATTTTTTCATGCTTGCAAAAAAGGATTGTGTGTTATTCTCTTGCCACATACCAAATATATAAACAGATAAAAACATAAAGCCAGTAAAGTTCCTGTTCAGTATGGCAGACACAAAAATTAGGGCAGTAAGCTTTTAATTTGTTTAGCTGGAGCTACATGAATACCTACAGCATTTGCCATCTGTGCTTCAAGGTCTTTAATATATTCTATCTCTTTTACAAGTGTTTCTGGAATTTCAGTTTCTTCCATACTCTACAATAGAGAGTAAAAAAATACATAAACATTATTTATCATGGAAAAAATAGTCATGCACAACATTGAAATGTTTCAGTGGAATGTTTCATTGGAAACACCATGAAAGCACCTGACAGAACTTCTTTTAATTATGCTAGTTGTTTGGTTCCTAGATCTCCTGAGGATACCAAAATTCATGGATGCTCACATCCCATTATATACAATGACCTAGTAAAATGGTGTTCCTTATATAAAATGTCAAAATCATGGTTTGCTTTTCGGATTTTTTAAAAAATAAATATACTTTCAAGCCATGGATGGTTGAATCTATGGATACAGATTCTGTGGATATAGAAGTCTAACTGTACAGAGCTGTCTTGAATTTGACCTGATCTAAGCCTAAGCTTCTTCCCAAACTAATTTGACACAAATTTCAAATTTTCTCTTTCACTCTGAAACAATTTTTAATTTTCAATGCACATGCTTGCATGTGTGTGTGTGTGCCACACACTTATTTCCATAATAATAATAATAATAATAATAATAATAATAATAATAATAAATTTTATTTATATCCTGCCCCTCTGTCAAACAATCGGGAAAGAAAAATAAATATGAATAAGTACTCAACCCATGATGAAAATCTCATTACCTACCTAAGGTAGAATACAGCATCTTGGCATTAAACTGATTAGGGGGAATCCAAAACTTTATTTCGATTCACATGTTTTCACTCAATATGATTCATTAAAACCTAGACGGGGGAAAATGAGGCAATTTTGTGTGATCCTTGAAAGAAATGGATATGGGCATTCCAAAGATTTGCCAAGGGTATCCAATCTCTTTCAAAACATTGTTATTAATAGAGACTTTGGGCCTTTGCAGACTGCCAGAAATAATGCAGTTTGAGGCCACTTTAACTGTCCTGGCTCAGTGCTAAGGAATTATGGGAACTGTTGTTTATTGTGGAACCAGAGCCCTCTGACAGAGAAGCCTCAGTATCTCAGAAAAAACTACAGTTCCCATGATTCCCTAGCACTGAGCCAGGACAGTTAAATTGTACGCAAGCTGCATTATTTCTGGCAGTCTGTAAAGGCCCTTTATTACTGAAGCAGAGTCTAAAGCAGAGGATCACTTAAGCAAACATTTATTTAGCAAGCATTCGTTTAAAAACAGAAATAAAGAATATGATGAAAGAAACTACAACTCCTAGAATAAATTATTTCAATAGCAAGCATGGTGGCATCATTTGTGTATATTCCAAGTACAATCATCCTTTGATGAGCTGGATTGACTCCACTGGAATAAAACATTATTTTTTTAAAAAAAAATAGCATGGAAACATTCGGAGGACCAAAGGTTATGAACCAGTGATAGAGTCTAGTCACAATTTTTCTTCCGACAAAACATTTGCACTATTTCTAGCAGTCTGCAAAGGCCCTAAGGCTTTTAAACTAAAAATTATAAATGAAGCACTAGATGTTGCTCAAACAGCAAAATAAGTTTAGGTATGAATAAAAGCATTGCATTTATTTTAATTCCCCCACCCCAAATTTCTGTGCTTTTTTGGGAGAAAAGGAAGACCCATTCCCACCCTGCAACCAACATTCCTAGATATTTTATAACTTTAGTTCTGTATATTTGTTTATTAAACTTCTATTCCACTTTCCTGAACTAAGAACAGAACAAGAACAATAGAGGAAAACAATAGAAAAAACAGATGTCTATATTTCATGTTCAAGTTTAAAAAACAAAATAAATATAGACAAGAGTGGATTAAAAGCAGCAAAACAAACAAACAAACACAAAAAGCAGCTCCTGGGAAAACCAGCAATAAAGAAAGCAAATTGCTTCAGTTAACTAAAAGCCTTCACATGTCATTGAAAGATCAACAGAACAAAGCTTGTTGTGGTACCAGAACTCTCTGACAGAGAAAGCTAAATGACTGAATAAACTCCCAGAATTCCATAGCACTCGACCATGGCAGTTAAAATGGTGTCAACCTGGATTATTTCTGCAGTGTGGATGCAGCCTAAAGAAAGGTCCTTTGGCCATATCATGAGAAGATATGACTCATTAGAAAAGACAATAATGCTTGGTAAGGTGGAAGGCAATAGGGAAAGAAGAAGACCTCATTCCAGATGGATAAACTCAAGTCAAGGAAGTCATGGCCCTGAGTCTGCAAGAGCTGAGCAGGGAAGTTGATAAATCATTTGGATGTCTCTTATTCATAGGGTTGCCATAAGTCAAAGTCAACTTGACGGCCCATTACAACAAAAGAAGGCATTCCACAGACCAGGCACAGCTTGAGTTCATGCAGTCACTACCAACTTGCACATGGTCCAAATATCAATATGGGATCAGCATATTCCAGTTTCCAAACCATAAGTGTGCATGCAATTACCAGGCTAGGGAATGTGTGCCTACCTAAGGGTCCGTTCACACTATACAGTTATAGCACTATGATTACACTTTAACTGCCATGGCGACATCCTATGGAATCCTGAGCTTTCTAGCTTGGTGAGACACTTCAAGCAGTGGTTCTCAAACTTTGATCCTCCAGGTGTTTTGCACTTCAGCTCCCACAAGTCCCAATCGGCTTGGCCGACAGTCAAGAATTCTGGGAGCTGAAGTCCAAAACATCTGGAGGACCAAAGTTTGGGAACCACTTTGGTCCTCCAATCTGCAACTGGGATCCACTGCAATCTGGCTGGAAATGCTTAATGCCACTCCCTAAACTGCCAATCCCAGGAATCCACAGGATGCTGTCATGGCAGTCAAAGTGGAATCATAGCTCTATAATTTGCTGTGTGAATGGGCCGCAGATGTTCTTGGACCAAATCTCCCATCTTCCCTCATCATGCTTGTTTTCTAGATGGTATGCCTCACACTGTAGTTGCGTTGAAATTATTATTACTGTGTGCTTTTTTTCTAGATGAAATAATAAAATATATTGTTTAAACAGCATTATTGTTTAAATCTGTAAAAATTTACTGGTTTTGTTGTTGTTGTTGTTGTTATTGTGTGCCTTCAAGTCATTTCTTGGCAAGATTTGTTCAGAGAAGGTTTGGCATTGCCTTCCCCTGAGGCTGAGAGAGTGTGACTTATCCAGGGTCACCGAATGGGTTTCATGACAGAGCTGGGATTCGAACCCTGCTCGCCAGAGCTGAAGTCCATGACTCAAACCAGTGCACCACGCTGGCTCTCATTATCTGTACAGACCTGAATAAATCTGTAAAAAGGCTATATTTTTAATACATAATAAGTTAACTCTATTAGTAGTGAATATATGTAACTTATAACAACAGTAAATAATTGCATTATTTACTAAAAAGGTATACGAGTAAATATATACAGGTTTTCTTTGTTAGTCTTTTGGACTACATGGTTCCCAGCTCTGAGACGACAAATACAGGTAGGATGATACACAAACTGGTTTCACACTCTTTCTTATAACCTGGAAATCCTTTCTGGGGAGAGCCATGGGGAGCAATCACCTGAACCCCATCATAAGTTATATGATGCTGTGCTACAAAGCCTCACCTACATTCATATTAGCCACACATGAGGTGGCTGCTTGAAAGGATCCTATGTGCACAATGATAAATGTAGCCACTATTTCCCCTCACCTTCATGAACCCAAGAAGAGATGGGATACACTGTGTACAGTCCCTTCACAGAGAGCCAATGCAGAGGTGGAAAAGGGAATGAATGTATGGTGAAGCCAGCGAGGTGTAGTGGTTTGAGCATTGAGTTCAAATCCCCGCTTGGCCGTGAAAACCCAATGGGTGAACTTGAGCAAGTCACACACTCTCAGCCTCAAAGGGTGGCAATGGCAAACCCCCTCTGAAGAAACCTGCCAAGAAAACCCGGTGATAGGGTCACCATAAGTCAGAAAAGACTTGAAGGAAAACATCACACACGCACACACACATGGCAGCATGAGCTTTCGTAGATGTTAGTCTACTTCCTCAGATGCCTTTGGTGGAGTGGAGGCCAGGCAAATTACAAAACCTTTGCATATGGAAATGAAGTGGCAAGTCCAGTCTTGAATGGTCATTAGTGCACAAAGACATAAGGGCCTTTGCAGACTGCCAGAAATAGTGCAAATTGAGTCC